CCCCTCTCACACCGCACACGCTCTCCCAGGCCTGACTTCGACTTGCACGCGTGTGGCGTTGTTGAACGTGCGTTGTTCATTGGTCTAGAGTCCGACGGTATTTGGCCGAATTCCTTGCCTTGACTATGTGCGCCGATTTTTAAGCTTTGTACCTCGTTTATTCATTACCAGTTGTTTAATAGTACCATACTACATTGATTGTTGTTATCATTAGGGTTGGACGTACTCGTTACTGCTGGATACAGAGTCAGAGGATGTGAGAGACTCGAAACAACTGGACTGTTCCAACCCACACGCTGGCTAACCTAACCTCTACCATAATCACTCTGATGAGGCTGAAACCGTGAAACACGGGGTCTGCCTCGTAGCATAGCTATGAAGTGACTGGGAGGGCCGCAGATGTTGGATACTAGAACTGCTAGCTGTACAATAAATAGACTTCAGCGATGATGCCCATGTAAGCAATTAAGGAAGTCAAGTTAAGCGAACGAACGTTTTCGATTAATTCATCATCAGGCAACACAATAATATAAGGGAGGGCAGAGTTAACGAATGTTTAAGCAACCAATCTGTAATAATTAGGGGGATAAGGGGAGAGAGGTATAAGAGGATCAAAGGGGTCAGATTCTAGTCTTAATTTGGGGACCAGAGAGGGGAAAGGTGGGGGAGGAGAAGGGGTCCGACAATTAGTTCGTGTAGTCCCGTCGTCCACAGCTCGCATTTTGTTGGGAGGTGTGAGGACGCAAGGCGTCCCCTCCCTGGCCCCCAAATTAAGACTGGAAACTGACCCCTTTGATCCCTTTACACCTTTCCCCCCTTTCCCCCCTAATTATTACTGATTGGTTGCTTAAATTTTTGTTAACTCTACCCTCCCTTATATTATTGTATTGCCTGATGATGAATTAATCGAAAACGTTCGTTCGCTTGACTCGACTTCCTGAAATAAATAAACGTTTGAGACTAAGGAGTGAGCAACCCCGAAACACGCCATACCTCCGGATGTGACCAGACACCTAACTGAAATATCGCCTACCTAGGAGACCAACACAGGCCATACCGATAGTACACGGAGAATGTTGTCCACCGTACAGTAGGCCTTCGCGTGATGCAAAGAATAAGAATGCAGATAGGTGCATAGGGGCCGCCCCCCCACACCTTAAGCTTACTCCACTTGCGGGCTTGTAGTG